CCTGCCGGGGGGGAACGCCCAAAAGAATATGTTTGGCCCCCCCCCCCCCCCCCCCCCCCCCCCCCCCCCAAAAAAAAAGCATTTTATTTCTTGTGTTGTAAGACCATAAACTATTTAATTTCATGATCATAATATTTAGCTCTATTTAACATTGTTTTTCTTTTCATACCGGGGATGGATTTCTACTTATGATAGAGTATGACACATTTTTTTTTATCACAGGAGAATTTTCCTGATTTTTGGCTTTGCAGAAAAAAAAATGGTTTTACATAAATCCAAATAATAAGATGAAATACTATGACTTTTCATTTATGTAATCAGTGCACATATTTCTGAAATTGCAGGATGTGAACTTCAATATGTTGGATACAACAGAAGTTGGACTATTAAAAAGTGTGGAGCAGTTGCTTTCAGACATTTTTATTCCCACACTGAGGAAAATAAACCATGGCTGGGGTGATCTGGCTAGTCCTCAGGCCCAGAGTGTAAAACAAGAGTTCATATCTTCACTTGAAAGCTTTGTGTCTGTTCTGGCGAGTGCACAGGAGAGTCTACAAGAAAAGGTGCGTAACAGACGCCACTTTACAAATAAATTAGAAAGATTGTAACAGCCATCTAATTCAAATCACATTAATAGCAATTATTGTAACCCTATGAACACAAGAGATATTTAACATTTAAAATAAAGGGTAAAGAATATTAAAGCTATGGAAATAGCTTTGACATTTATTTGAAGTTCATGTTCTTTCTGTTGAACATCTGTACTCTAAGCAGAAAAAAAATGGATATGCATGCAGAAACTTGCATCCAGATGAAAGAGAGAGGAAAAAAAAATCTTTTGTTTTCCCTCCAGGTTACCTTGAAGGAGTGTGACACGTTTGACTTGCGGGTGTTGAAATCCCCAGCAGATTACATGGCAGCAGCCAACAGCGCAGAAGCCACAGAAAAAATAGAAGCCTGTGTGAAAGTTTGGATCAAACAGATAGAACAGGTGAGAAAACATTCTCCAAGGTATCACCATTTATATTTCACATTGAAACTAGCTTCAGTCAGGTTGGCTTTTCTGTTCTGCTGAACTGCTTAAGGACAGGATTTGAGTGATGATTCATTTTCTGTCTGCTTGAATTGTCTATGACAAAGCAGAATGCATCAACAATATGATAAAAACATAACTTGATCTATAAAGAAAAAAATAAAACTGGACAACAAGTAAATGCTGTTGTTAAAGTTTATCAGTAGAGGTAGCCCAATACGTATCAACTGCCTAATAAATTACACCGATGTTTTGACATAATGGCTCCTGGCATTATGTAACCACTCAGCTAATAACCACAGACATTTTTTTTTCTTCCTCGTTTTTTGTGCAAGTTACAGAAAATCGGTGAACTTTATCCATGGAATAAATGAAATATCCCTAAATTTACTGTGAAGTCTTTGAATGCACAGAGAAGACCTTTCAATCTGCAATTTATGTTAGGGCTCAGGGAACACAGCAATACCTAATCATATTTAGTTTTGAGTTAGAAAGTTGGCAGCCTAGAATATCAGCTAGGGCCTGATTCGATTTTTAAACATCAATCACTGCAGCAAAAAATATACGTCTACTGTGTAATCACTATGTGTACATTTCAAAGTTTGGACAAAACAGTCTGCCCAAAGTGTCCTGCAACTTAACTCCACGATTTCCAGATGAATATGTTCTTGGTTTGTAAGAATTAATTACACACTGTATAAATTGAGTTAGCAAATGCAGCATATAGGTTTGTTCTCCAGGTTCTCGCAGAGAGTAACCAGCTCCGTAAGGAGGCTGACGACCTCGGGCCTCGTGCTGAACTGGACCACTGGAAGAAACGAACGGCTCGCTTCAACTATCTTTTGGACCAGCTCAAAACTCCGGAAGTCAGTGCTGTACTGGGTGTTCTCCTACTGGCCAAATCTAAACTCATTAAGGTCAGAAATGATGCTCATTCGTGACTGGGACATGCACCACATGTTGAAAAGATGTGAACTGCCTAAGTGAACTTTAATTTTATTCTTCTAAACTTTATATGTACATTTTCAATTAATAATATACAGCAATGCATTAAGCATAAGAAGTGTGTTTACATTTTTTTTGTTTTATTTTTTTTTTGTTTTTTGCTTTAGTCATGGCGGGAACTAGACGTAAGGATTACTGAAGCAGCTAATGAGGCCAAAGACAACGTGAAGTACCTCTACAGCTTAGAGAAGTTCTTTGACCCACTCTACAACAGTGACCCTGTAAGTAAAAAAATAAACAAACAAAACAAACATGTGTCATGTTTCTTTGTCTGAAAAATGAACCAAACATTCCTCAAACTTGTTATGATTTTACAAAAGGAAAATATTTCTCCTTCCAGGTATCAATGGTGGATGCCATCCCTGGTTTGATCAATGCCATCAAGATGATTCACACCATTTCTCGCTACTATAACACATCTGAAAAACTAACATCACTCTTTGTTAAGGTACTTCAAATTCGGTGGTTACTTTGTTCTAATCCAAATTTGGACGCTTCTGATGTAGCTTTTAATGCCTCTAAATACAATCAACTCAAAGGAAGGATGCATAGCAGCAGTAAATAGGTGGAATATGTGAGCAAAGTGATGTGAATGTTTTAAAATCTGTACACATGATAAAATTCTCAGACTGAAAATAATTGACAAAACCTAATGTACTTCCAGGTCACAAATCAGATGATAACTTCTTGCAAAGCCTACATCACTAATAATGGTTCCAATTCAATATGGGACCAACCTCAACAAGAGGTTACTGATAAAATCAAAGCTGCAATTCATCTAAATCAGGTATTGGGTATTCCTTATTGAAATAACTGTTTTTTTTTATATTCATCAGGTTTTTTTTTGTTATGCATTTGTCCCCTATTATGATTTCTTAGATGTGGTTTCAATTTAGTTCTGTCTTCGAACAAACAGTCCTGGTATTACGGTTTGTAAGTCAAGTCAGCCAACCAACCCAGCTGCATCAGTTGGATGAAGATGAGTTTGCTTTGTTTCAAACTGTGTTGCTCAGGAGTACCAGCTGTGTTTTCATAAAACCAAGGAGGAGCTGGAGCAATCTCCATCTCAGAGAAAGTTTGACATCAGTGAGATGTACATCTTTGGGAAGTTTGACACATTCCAGCGACGTCTCAACAAGATCCTCAAAATGTTTGACACCATCTCCACCTACTCTGCACTTCAGGACTCCAAGATTGAAGGACTTGAAACAATGGCTACCAGATTTCAAGTAGGTGTACAGTATCCCCAAATCAAAATTATGAAGTTCTTCTCATGGTGCAGAATTGAATTCCATAAAATGTTGATGTTATTTCTGCTAGCTGAACCTGAGCTGTAGCAGTTTTCACTTTCTTGCGGGTGAAAGATAATAGATCAGAATCTGCTTTAATGGTCAAGATTGTGAGTACGAAAAAGGAATTTGACTTTGGTTTCAAATGCTCACAGCTTACAGGCGTTAGGTATAAATATATGAACCTTATAGAAATTGTACATGAACCATATGTGTTTACATGAAAGTAACATAAATTTAGCAATTACTTGAAATATATTTCAGAAACAGAAAAAAAATGTGTGGCGTTATAATAGGCAGGCTTTCATTGGCATCTACTAAGAGTTTTCTTTGGTGAAAACATGAAAAATGTGTTTTGTATGTAGAAAATTCCATACTATCATACTATTGGGGTAGTTTAATTAGCAATAAACCATTTAAAGAGGGCTTTCATCATAGTTCTCTGTTCTTATAATGTGCATTGCATTTTTATCTTTTTATATTTTAATAGAACCAATAGCTTATTAAGAGTCTTTTAATCTGATTTGCATTTTTTTTTCACCACACTCTGGAAATTCATCTCTGTTTCATTATAGTGATTATAAAACTGGAATCAAAGAGCATTTCATCTGAAATGTCACCACAGTCAGAACATTTGCTATCCAAACATTGTCTTCATTACCTTACTAAACTATGTACAATCAGTGCAGCTCATTTAAAATAATTAAATCTGCCTGCACAATTTCTATTATAGTGATAGATTTATTCCCCAGTTCTTTGCTTTGGAGATTGTGTTGCCTTTTGCCCTCGATTATAAAATGATGCTGGAATTAAATGAACAAGCAAAATTAGAATGCATAGTTTTACCTTGTGGATATATTAATGTGAGCTATACTGTTTGTTCTTTTGCTTCCTTGGATGTACAGTCTGCAGAAATGCAGGCAAAATGGGAGGTAATTTTTCATCATGGTCTTTACTACTTATCAATGCATGATCTATTTTAAGTTTTGTAGTTTGCAACTTGCAGTGGTAGATCTAATATCTACAAACTATTTCAGTGCATTTATTTAATGACAATATTAACTGCATGGAACATTGACATTGGTAAATTATTTTAATTCGTTCCATTTTTTCTTAGTTTTATCTTAATTGTCCATTGCAAAATAAAATTGCCTTTTTTGGATAATATTTTTCTTCTATACTGTTTGTAAACATTTAATGCTATTTTGCAGTTAATACTTTCAATTCAGTCTGTGTAGTCTCATAAGTGACACTACATAGATTCATTTATGAGACTATGTATCCCATTGAGACTACTCAGTGGAATACAGTGTTTTGTGATACATAGCTTAGCCAACAATTCTTAACTTGTCTTCTTGTGTGTAATTAAGCATTAGTGGTAACAGGTCACAAGAGACAGGCATTTCCAGTAATCAGACCAGTTTAAGGAATAGAAAAGTTTGATCTCAGTATGAGTTTTGTGATTTACCGTTGAGGTGCTGTATCTTGAAAACCATCTGTTTAACTTCACTTCTTCACATGACTTTGTGTCGGCCACTACGTAAAATCCCAGCACATTGAACACATAAAACACATCGAAGAGGTTGTAACATGACAAAATGTGAAAAAGTTAAAATGCTTTTGAAATGCATTGTATAATTGTGCTGTCTTGTGAGGTGTAATGTTTTAATTGATATTTAGAGGTATTTTCCTCCCACCACCTGCTTACTGACACATTTGTAGAGAGTTCAAATTTAGAATGTAGCATATTTTAAGTGATAAAAGCTTTTTTTTTTTTTTTTTTTTTTTTTTACCCCTAAAAAACTGTCAGTCTGAAAGCATGCTTGGTATACAACTTACCCCCTCAACTGAATTTGATTTTATGTTTGTGTCTGACAGGCTATAGTGTTGAACATGAAAAAGAAGAATTACAGTTTTCTAGACCACAGAAAAACTGACTTTGATGTTGATTTTGAGGAATTCTGCAAAAGCACTTCTGAGCTCCATGTAAGTAATTTGCAAAGTCATCAAATTATATCGTCTGGTCTAAACTGATTTATCTATAGGTGAATAGCTGCATTAAATTAGCAATTAGTATTTTCCATGTGAGCATGGAGAATCTGAAAGAAATGCAATTGAGGTACTGTAAGAATAAACGATTGGTTTCTTTTTGAAGACAAGCCAGCCTTGGCAGATTTGGTTTTATGTGCTATATACATTTAGGTGAAATGGAAAAAGATGCATACTGTGTTTTTTGTTGTTTTCTTTCCTATCTTTAAGACATATTTGCAATCAAGGTTAGACTTGTTCACTGATTTTAGTCTAGGTAGGAAATTAGATTTAGATATTAAATATTGAAAATATTGGCCACTCTGCCCGGAGACATTGTTTTAGACTGCAATCAGTGGATTTCAGAGTTGATTAACACTTTGTGACAGACTCTTCTCCCTATTCAATAATCATTGCTGCTTTCTGTGTTTGTTTTTTTCTAGAACCAACTGAAGGCTTTCATGGATAACACGTTTGAAAAAATTCAAAATACAGAAAGAGCTTTAAATGTGCTGAAAAAATTTGAAAGGTGACTTGGACTCACATTATCTATTTATTTTGTTGCTTAGTTTTTAGGGTTGATTAAATGCAACTTGCCTCTATGTTTTTGTCCTGCTGGAACAGACTGGGCATTCCTGATCTTGGAATTAATGAAAAGTACCAGCACATCTTGCAGAACTACGGTCGGGACCTTGAAATGGTTTCCAATGTCTATGCAGAGCAAAAATCGGACCCTCCTGTTGCTAGGAACATGCCACCAGTGGCGGCTCGGATCATGTGGGCTCGGCAGCTGTACAGCCGGATTCGAGCTCCCATGAATCTCTTTGAAAAGGTTTTACACTATTTAGAATTTATTAATGAAAGGTTTTGATTATTTTTATGTTTTTTTTACACTTACAGATTTTTTTTCTTCTTATTCTCTTCCTGGTTAGTGTGAAGGTGTCCTTTCCACATCAGAGGCAAAGAAGATTATCAGGAACTTTAACAGGGTAGCAAGGATCCTGTTGGAGTATGAAATTATGTACCATCACAGCTGGATGACAAAGGTGCAATAAACTGACAATAAGAAAATAGTATTATTATCTGAAATGGTAATACCCTACTATTACAATTTTTTGACAGATAAAAATATCTTCATAAACATGTTTTTCCACTTGTTTTTTTTCTGATGACACACGGAAATCGCATGCAGATGGAATATGCCAGGGCTGGCCTAAAGGCCTCTCTCTTGGTCAGATCTTCAGTGACTGGACAGCTGTATGTGAACTTTGACCCAGAAATACTTACGCAGATCAGGGAGACTGACTGCATGAAGCGGATGAATCTGGAGATCCCTCCCTTTGGTGTTTTGTTGCAGCAGAAACAGGATATACTCAAGAAACACTATGATAAATTACAGGTGAATATTCCACACAGAAACACATATCTTAAAAGACCCAGAACATATAGAGGACATATTAGGAATGACATTAAAATGTCTTATTTTTAAACTTTTTTTATATATTTAAAAAAGATAGTTGAAAATTGAGGACACTGCAGAAAAATAATCACAAAAAAACATTAATTTTATATCCATTTGTAGATTTTCAATTTCAAAATTTTAAAATTGTTTGTTTTTACCATGCCAAAAATATGAAAAGATTTTTTTTTCACAGCTAATGTTGAGTGAAAACACCAGAGTGCGAGCCAAGATTCAACCTGTATTTGAACAACTGTCCATGCCACATGTTGCTAAGGTGAGATGTTTCATTGACAGTAAGCTGAATAGTGTAAAACAATTTCATTGGTTATCAGGCCTGTAAACGCCCATGTTTCAGACTTAGAAAACCAAACTCCAGACTTTTCCTGAACTTCGACTAATAGTTATTTAGGATAACACTGAATTTATCAGCCTGTTTGATATTCAGGCCCATTAAACCAATGTTAGTTTTACAGAAACTAATACCAATCAGAGTAGCAGAAGAGCGGCTGATTAGAGCTGTTGTGTAAACATTTTGTTGGCCAATTATGAATTTCTGGTGGAGGTAATACATAGAAGTTTCTTTCTGTAATCAGAAGCAAAGCAGGAAATTTGCATCTTAAATCGTCATGTTTTGATCTCTGTAAATAGATTACGGCTTTCTAAGTTTTGTAGCTCATCCTCCAGTCTTGTGATGCATTGTATTTAAATAATTACTGTTATCAGGTTCCAGCTGTGTATTTCAACACATGCATATAACATGAATTATAACACAGTTTTCCTTTAATTAATTAGATTTTGGGGGAGTGGTGGGGGGAGGGGGGATTCATTTAGAAAAAAAATGGTCTATGCCACTAAGTACAGCTTACCAGAGGAAGTGCATTTTATTAACCTATTTCCAATAGATCAAAAATTATGTTCACCTATTTCTGGGATAAGTCATTGACACATTGTGGTATTGTTTTTGAAATGAAATGAATAAATCCACAGTTTGGTAAAAAAAAAATTTAAAATAGCATTTGTCGTTTATTTCATAGGTGGATGAGACTATTCAGCCAGGTTTGACCTTCCTCAGCTGGACGTCTCTGAGCATAGACAAGTATCTAAGCCGCATTGACAAAGCACTGGGTAAGCAAAAATTAAACAAAGTCCAGCCACATCGATGCCTCATTTGCTGACGCATAACATATCTTGCAAATCAGCAATGGCAGCCTGTTAAATTTAAATTAATTGACTCTTTGTGTACACACAAGCAACTTAAACATACTGTATATATTATCCTGTTGTCTGTTTTCAGCTGTTTTATCTTTGGTATAACCCCAGTCCTCCCAAATTGTGGTCTTTGATTCATACATTTCTTTCTGATTCTTCTTCGTCCCCAGCTGATTTGGAGCTGTTAATAGACAGAGTGAATGACTTGGTAGAGTTTAGAATAGATGCTGTACTGCAGGAGATGAATGCAGCCACATTGTGTGTCCTGCCAGAAGACCAACCTATCACCTGTGAAGAATTTGTGAAGACCACCAGGGTAAATAGACATGAATGGATGACATTTCTGTCACAAATTGTTTTTGCACAGTGAACCCACCACGTAGGTTTTGTAGCTCTCTTGTAAAATTGTAAAGATTTATGCAGTTTTCTAAAGCAAACTGTTGAAGAGCCCCATGACTCACACATCTATAGAACCGTTTTTTTTGTCTCGGACTTTTACTTTTATTTTGCTGTGCGCATGTAGGACTTGTGCATAAAACAAGCTCAGAAGCTACACCTTAAGAGCACACTTGTGGAAGAGGCTACCAATGAGCTGATCAACATGCTGATGGAGTTTGACCACGGTCAGAAGGAGGAGGTGAAGGGCGTGGAAGAAAACGCTGGTGAGAGCAAGACCAAACATCACTTTGAACCTGAACTGTTGTTGTTCCTGTTCTTCAGTAAAGTGATAGAAAAGACCTAGCCTTGAAGTGTTGAACATAACTGGATCAGAAGGCCGTTTCCTGCAACTGCAGTTGATGTTCACTGTATATGTGTTGTTTAGGTGAAAATGGACACTCCTCCGAAAGCCATCTCTTCTCCAGGAACACTTTGCTTCCTCATGCTACTTCAGGTCCTTCCTCTCCTTTACCAAAGAGGAGGAAGAAGAAAGACTTGATGAAAGTAATGGAAGAGGAAGCACAGGAACTGCTTTCTTACTTCAACCACCGCAATGTGGAGGCTTTGCTCAAAGTGATATGCAATACCTTGGAGATGCTGCGCAAGCGCATACATACCTCATCGCTTGGGCATTTCTTGGGTGGGTCTACTCAAATAAATAGTCTTTACTTTAAAGAGGAAATCAAGAAAAATACAGGATTTAAGCAGACACAACATGAGTATATTAGAGGAGATTTATTTATATTTTTTAGTATTAAAATACTAAAAAAAGGTTTTAGTATTTTAAAACAAAGACAAAATAATTATGGAGTTAAAATGTTGAAAAATTACCATGCTGCATTAGCAGCTGGTGCTGTAATCATTACTAAAACAGCCTTTTTATATTCTTGATAGAATGTAGACTGTTGCTGCGTTCCTGTGTTTGTCAAAAGACAGCCAACATTTGCAAATCCAGCATGTTTTGTGACACATGGAAGCTTAATAATCATAACTATTATCACAGTTAAGCCCAAAATTATTCATACCCCTGCCATATTTAGGGTTAAACTTGTTTATAATTTATACCAATGGAGTGGCCCAGCAGGAGACTAAATTCAAAAGAACATCTGTGAAGGAAATTACAGATTAGGGCGATTGTGTGGAAACTTAAAGGGGAAACATGTAAAGATCCAGTGAGCAGTCATGAAGCTTTGTTGCTTCATTGGCAATAAAGATTTTTCCAATGAATTTTGAGAAGTGTCCGTTCATTTCTGTCATGCCATTTTTAAACAAAAGGTAAACGCCCATCCACCCCCAAAAAACAAAAAACACTTTTTTTCCAAAACCGGTACTACTTTTACATTGTTCGATCTTTTGACATATCACTTATTTATTTATTTACAGAAGAAAAGCTTCTTGGTTGACTGGGAACAATTTTTCATTTGTATGCCAGCGGTATGAATAATAACCTTAACTGTTCCATACATAATGAGTTCTTGTTTTCATTCTCATCCTATAATTGGTATTATCAAAGGTTATTTGTCGTTGCTTTCCCCACACATGAATATATACAAATCAAACGAAGCCTCCCCCACACTTGGACTATTTTTCAAACACACATTTACATGTGTGTGTTTATAGCCAAATATCACATCTAATATCTCCATATTTTTGAAACCTTTTATACATTTGAAATGAACTTTGCTGATAAAAATAAATAAATAAATAAAAAAAAATCTCAATGTAATGTTTCCCTTTTCTGTCCCTGGTAGGTGAAAGTGCTGCACTGAGCCATGGGAAACACAGTGGTCAGCAGGCCATCTTCAGAGCCAATGTGACTCTCTCTATACCGAACATTGTCATGGTTCCAGGTCTGGAGGAGGTCCAGCAGGCTTTAAACAGGGCTGTTGAATGTGTGGTCAGTGTGAGCAAAGGAGTAGGTCAGTGGAGCAAAGAAAGAATCTGTAAGGTATGTTTACGTTAAATTGGCTGTGACTGTGATCATGCAGAACAACTATAAACCGTTCATGTATTTTTCGTAGCTCGCGATGTTCTAGCCTGGTAAGCCGAGAAATCCCTGCAATATTTCCTTTTATTTGAATTTCACTTTATAGAAAAAAATGAATGAGAGACGGATGGCGGCTCTTAAACAAGACAGCTCTGAGAGTGAATCAGACGATGAAGCAACGACACACAGGAGTGTGACTGGTATGAAGGAGATTTCTGCTCGCCCGACTGACCTTCACCCATTCAGCTTTTCAGGGATTCATTCTGACATTTATTCGTCTCATCAAACTTACGATGTGCATCGTTTTTTTATTTCACACTTTAGTAGAGCAAATCATTTGATTGACTAGAGAGAGATGTGTTGATGGAAGTGACACAATCCATCAAAAATGACTTTTCAAAACGTTGATAACTCTACCTCAGTTACACCCGGACTCAATAGAATTAGTAAAATAAAACGTATTGTAACATGTTTACATACGTCTTATGATTCCTCACAGATGTATTCACACAAATGTCCTCTTTAATAATGAATAAGATCACATATTTTTCAGATTGCACCAGCTCAGAGATTTCAGCATCGGTGATTCAAGCTATTCCATTCCAAGCAAGAAATTATTACAAGAGTGTATCTGAGAACAAGGAGATAGTTAAGTTGGTGTCCGTTCTCAGCAGCTCAATCGCCTCAACTAAGAAGGTAGATAGTCTTCAGTATGTATTCTTATAGAAAATGATCTCAGTTGTTTTCTACAAGCCTTTTTAAGCATTTAAAAGGCAAATGCATAGACTAGACATTTGCCAAAATGAAGTTGCAGTTCAATTTTTTCATTGAAGTCAGTGTTATGTATAAATATACTGCTCAAAAAAATAAAGGGAACATTTCACTTTAATTTTGTGTGTGGCTCCAAATCCAGGCCTCCATTGGTTAATAAATTTGATTTCCATTGATGATTTTTGTGTGATTTTGTTGTCAGCACATTCAACTTTGTACAGAACAAAGTATTCAATGAGAATATTTCATTCATTCAGATCTAGGATGTGTTATTTGAGTGTTCCCTTTATTTTTTTGAGCAGTGTAGGTTTATAACACTTCTTTTTCAAATCAGTATTTAATGCTGCTTAAGTAGTATTGTGATAAAAAAAATAACTTGTTTCATTTGGATGTTGTATCAGTTTTTCTTGAAAGAGACTCTTACGCTGAGCAAACCAAATAATCAACGTGAGAAATATTGACAGGAACTCTTGTTGCCCATGTTTTTAGTTGTTATTACACGTTTGGTTTTGTTTTGCAGGAAGTAGAAGCTGCTCTTGATCGTTTCAGCAGTTACCATCACATCTGGAGAAAAGATCGTGAAGACACTTTGCAAAAGTATTTTTTTCCATGAGACAATAATCTTTAATTAACGTTCTGTTAGAAATATTGAAACAGAAATTTCTTGATTTCTTTTTTTTATCAGATTTATCCAGGGAAGCCCTTTCCTATCAGATTTTGAGAGCCAGATAATTTTTTATCGGGATCTCGAACTCAAAATAAACTCTGAACCAGAGTACATCACTATTGGAGCCTTAGCTTTATTCACAGGTGAGATCAAGTTATCAGCTGTATAAGCCTAAAAACCCCCCCAAAATACAAATTTAAATTGAAAATTAAACCGAGCTCCAGTTGCTCACTCTGTTTGTTTTTTCAAGCATTCCTGAAGATGTCCCTCACAGCTGAAACTAAGAACTGGATGGTGGACTATGGGCTTTATTGTAACAGGAAATATTGCGCAGACATGGAGCGGATCTTTGCTTTTGTTGATGAAGCGGGAAAGAAACTGAATCGGCAGATCAAAGACCTCGACGATATTCGCATCGCAATGGCTGCACTCAAAGAAATTAGAGAGCATCAGATAAATATTGATTTTGAAGTTGGACCAATAGAGGTAAACCGTACTCCTTTCTAACATGACCGTTTCTGACTCTGTGGAAAAGCACTTCATTAGAAAACGCTCAGAGACAAAAGCTTAAAAATGTAGATTCCAAATATGGATGACAATTATTTAAATGTGGCCAATATTGATTGTTCTTTCGCATTTATTTACAGTATACAGCAAGCTAATCAAGAGCTGCACAAATAGATGCACTGATTAAATAATGTTTTATTTGTAAGGACTGTGTCACTGTGACAGCACTCATAAACTGTTTTAGTTAAAACTATTCCCCTTGTTGACTCTCCTTACAGGAGTCCTATGCTATGCTTCATAAATATGGTGTGTCAGTTGCCAAGGAGGAGGTTGATAAGGTGGACACTCTGCGATACACCTGGGAAAAACTCTTGTCCCGAACAACTGAGGTGCAAAACGAATTGGTTGCCTTGCAACCGCACTTCCGAGAAGAACTTGTCAGCAATGTGGAGACCTTTCAGGAGGATTGCCAACACTTCTATCAGGAATATGAGAAGGTAAAAAAAATGACTGTGTTGTACTCAATGATCAGGTTGTTTTTTTTAAAAGTAGATTGTGAAGGTTTGCTTGATTACACAGCTGCTACTCAAATATTGGAGCAATGACCCAATAATAATGATGCTGCTGAAGAGTAACTCTCCCAAGAGCTTAATACTAAAAGTGAAACTGAGGGCATGGCCTACTTGCTGATTAATTTAGCTAATAACTGTGTGAACAATGGAGTCGCTCACAGAGCATTGAACATTTATCTGAATATAGTTAGTTTAGGGAAAAAAGATGAAACTGTGACATCGCATCAAAAGTCACATACTCCGTCATGATGCAGTTGAACACTGTGAATATCGCATATTACACACAAAAACTATTCAAATCAGGAACTGATGAGAAGTCCCAGGATTTGATGTTCCTAAAAATAAAAATAAAAAGATTCTTACCTTTTCAACAAATGTTTTTTTGTTGGGCTTCAGCTTATTGCTCATTACAATAGTAGAAACTGAACTAAACCTTTTTGTCTCTCTCTCTCCAGGATGGGCCGATGGTAGAGGGTTTGGCTCCTCAGGATGCCAGTGACAGACTGATCATGTTCCAGGTTTGTTTTTACTGTTTGGGTGTAAATTACATAGTAGACGTGCCAGAATTATTTTGAAATGGATTGCAGTATTTGATACAGTTACTGACAAAACCAGTCACATGATAATTCTTAAAAAAAAACAAAGATGGCGTTTACACAAATACTTTTTTTATTGACCATTAATGACAAACATGGTTGCTTTTTATTGTGTGTATGCAAGCATATCTGGAAAATTGTGTGTTTTAATTCAAATCTGAAATTGAACAAGTCATTCCTGGTGAATTAATTTTATACAATATTACATTAAGATGCTAGATGGTCGCACAATTGGTTTTGTTGCCGTTTTTCATTTTTAGAATCGATTTGACAATCTATTCCGGAAGTACATAACTTTTACTGGAGGAGAGGAGCTCTTTGGACTTCCAGTTACACCACACCCTCAACTGCTGGAGATCAAGAAACAGCTGGTCCTGCTACAGAAGCTGTATGGCCTTTACAACAATGTCATTGAAACAGTCAATGGATACTATGACATCCTTTGGGCTGACATCAACATCGAGAGGATTAATAATGAGCTCCTAGACTTTCAGACAAGGTTAAACTTTTTTTTTGTTTAGCTTTGAATCTAAATAACACTTCTCAATGATCTGATGTTGCACTGCAAATAAAACATAAGATAATGCTTCTCTACTGAGCCTGAAACTTTGCTGCCTATATTGTGGATGTGTTGATTGTAAAGCGACTTTGCAAAAACCAACCTGTTGCATTCTTTGCTTTAAGTCCTCAAAAATATTTTGAGCTTATTTGTGTGTGTATTTTATTTGTGTGGCTATTTTATTATCATGTTTTATCTGAAGCAGAAACTATACTGAACTTTAATAACAAGACCATGTATTAATTTATTCATTTATAGTTTAATACCTACTAAAACTGTGATGTCAATTAAAATGAATAAATATTTTATTAATTGTATTTTGTCATGACATGAACAAAATGAGTCACAATAGATGTTACATTTGTTTAACAAATAGATGCCGCAAGCTTCCTCGGGGTCTGAAGGAGTGGCAGGCGTTCTTGGATCTGAAGAAAACTATCGATGACTTCAGCGAGTGCTGCCCCCTGCTGGAACTCATGACTAACAAAGCCATGATGTCGCGCCACTGGAAGAGAATCACAGAAGTTAGTCAAAAATGGAGCACCACGTTTTTCTACAAATGTTTCATTTAAATTTAGATCGATCAAACATGCATTGTTTGGCTGAAATTAATTTTAATCTGCTCTTTGTTTTTATCTCCCAGGTTTTTGGCTGAAATTAACTTTAACCTGCTCTTTGTTTTGTTTTTATCTCCCAGGTTACTGGCCACACATTTGAGGTTGAGTCTGAGACATTTAAGCTACGTAACATTATGGAGGCTCCTCTACTGAAGTTTAAGGAAGAAATTGAGGTAAGCTAAGGTTTACTTTTTATGTAAAATAACTTATATTCAGAAAAAGAAGAATCAAAAAACCTCAAAGTAATCATTCACCAAGGTAACTGTTTACATCAAACAATAAATTTGATTGTTTTTGCTTCTAAGAAATTTTAACTTCTACAAAGACTTTGCCTAACTGTTCGAGATAATGTTGTCATTAGTGAATCTGTTCCTTTATGGCCATTGCACTGGCCACAAAGGGCTTTTATTGAGTAATTGAAATAATCTGAAAACTGCATTTTGAATTTGCTAAGGTTGTCTTAGCAAAGACAAGACTGATAGGAGTTAAGTGAGAATACATCCAGATAGACGCAATTTGATGCATAACTTTATGCATCAAATTGAAAAAATCTTCACCAAGATTTTTTCAAAGTAAAAATCTTGGTGAAGATTTTTACTTTGAAAAAACTCTTTGTAAAGATTTTACTTTGTTAACCACATGCACCGTATCCTGTGTTTTAATTAATGATCCATTTGCATTTATGTCGTAACATGTACCTTGGCATTCCATGCGAAGGATATCTGCATCAGTGCTGTTAAAGAGAGGGATATTGAGCAGAAACTGAAGCAAGTGATTGCTGAGTGGGACAACAAGACATTTACGTTTGCCAACTTCAAGGCGAGAGGCGAGCTGCTTCTGAGAGGAGACAGCACATCAGAAATCATTGCCAGCATGGAGGACAGCTTGATGATTTTGGGGTCTCTCATGAGCAATCGGTATGTCACTCACTCTTCTCATAAGTTGTTACTGTGAATACTTCGAGTTAAATACAATTTTGTACACATTTTCTGCCTCCATAATTTTAGGAAATGTAGGAGGATTTTAGTATGACCTAAAAAGCCACCACCATGGCACTGCATGGTTTTCATGCAAATTCAATTTCTCCCATAGGTACAACACCCCATTTAAGGCCCAGATCCAGAAGTGGGTTCAGAACCTTTCTAACACCACTGATATTATCGAACACTGGATGACAGTCCAGAATTTATGGATCTATCTGGAGGCTGTGTTTGTAGGTGGAGACATTGCTAAACAGCTGCCTAAGGTAAAAATATTGTTTCCAGGTGATAGTTCCAACTAGTTTAATACAGAGTAACTAAATATACCTTTATTTATTTTTTGTCAAATGTACAGTACATTTACTCTCTCTTTCTTATGTCCAATTTTTTTTCTTTTGTATTTTATTGTAGGAAAAACTCCTACTTCAGAATTAGTGGAAAAAAATAGACTTTGACATTTTGTGTGAATAATCTCATTAAAATAATAAAATGGATCAGTCAGAATTTTGCTTTTGGAAAGCTTTGAGCTACCAACCGTTAGCCAGTTATAATATCTGTTTAATAGCTATATTATCTGTTAAATTCAGTTCATTTCTACACCCTATTCATAATAAAAATGTCATCTCAAGAGACTTTGCAAAAAATGATTTCAATTCAATCACACATACTTTTCAACTGATCCGAGTTATCAAACATTACAGTAAGCTCAGCTAATGATATTGAAATTAATTGTTTTAGGAAGCAAAGCGTTTCTCAAACATTGATAAGTCTTGGGTGAAGATCATGATGCGCACTCATGAAATGCCCAATGTTGTGCAATCCTGTGTGGGAGATGAGACGATGGGCCAGCTGCTTCCTCACCTGCTGGAGCAGCTGGAGATCTGTCAGAAGTCACTTACAGGGTGAGCCCTATTTACTCAGTTAATATGGATGCTGGTTTGGGAGGCAAATGTTTCAAAACATCTGCAGGTGCAAGAGAGTGGTTCAAAAATGGAGGTGATTTTAATTAACTGGATTGTTGTTGCAGTTATTTGGAGAAGAAGCGACTGCTTTTTCCGCGTTTTTTCTTTGTCTCTGACCCTGCCTTGCTGGAGATTCTGGGCCAAGCCTCTGACTCCCACACTATCCAGGCTCACCTTCTCAATGTCTTTGACAACATCAAAACTGTTCGCTTCCACGACAAGGTAATTATTTTTTTTTTTATAATGGCACCATGAATGAATGTTTTGTTTTATTATTACTCTCTCTAGCCGACCACTGTTGCACAACACTGTCGTAGTTTATATATCACATACATAGCCTTTCAGTTGGACTGGAGGAACAGAAATGTTTGAGTCTTATAGCACTAAAGTGATTTGGGTACTACTTGACAGAGCAAATTTTTTGCATCAGTCTCTACATCTTTACATCTGACCTGTCCAGTGTGTTCCTCAGTCTTCTTAATGAAGGTTATTGGTCACACTGGATAGTGCTGCTCTGTCACATAAATCCTCAAAAAATTAGGCTTTTGTACAGAACAAAATGCAAAAAAAAAAAGGAGGTTTACATGCTTTTGCATGCATAGTGTTAAGAAAACGACTACATTCTTCATAACTAACTCATATAGTAAAACAGCTTGTATAATGCACAAATTCTATAGAAACTGATTATATAGAATAAAGAGAAGATGTGCATTAAAACATGCTGTGTCTTTATTAAATATAATTCATCTGTCTCAGATATATGACCGGATCCTTGCTGTGTCATCGCGTGAGGGGGAAACTGTGGAGCTGGAGCGTCCTGTCATGGCTGAAGGGAATGTTGAAGTGTGGCTGAATGCTCTGCTGAAAGAGTCCCAGTGGTCATTGCACCTGGTGATCCGACAGGCTGCTCTGGCCATCCAGGACTCTGGCTTCCAGCTTATCGAATTCTTAAACTCTTTCCCTGCACAAGTCAGTTAAGACACTATCATTTTTAGATAAATGCTGAACCCCAAAATCACACCCTAGGACGCTACATTTATATGAAATATATAAAACTCAATATCAAGGAGATTTTTTTTTTTTTTTTTTAACTATGCTTGCACTTCTTTAACAATATAATATTCTTGGTGCAGGTGGGCTTGCTTGGTATCCAGATGATATGGACAAGAGACGCTGAAGAGGCACTTGCCAATGCCCGATATGATCGCCGCATTATGTCAAAAACCAACCAGCTATTCTTGGATTTGCTCAACACACTAATTGACATGACCACAAGAGATCTGGAAGCTGTAGAGAGGACCAAATACGAGACCCTCATAACGATCCATGTTCACCAGAGGGACATATTTGATGATCTGGTGAGTAATAATGGATTTATAAAAGCAAAGTCAACTCGGTTCATTCACAGGGCAGACCATAAAGTACACTCAACTATGTGTGTAATTAGAACAGATTGCTGAAGACATCCACAACTTTTCAGAACTGACGTGAACATTGTCTATTCAGACTCCTAATGGCTTTGTTGGCAGTCTACCAAATGTAACTGTAAAAGAGGAAGGCTTCTGTTAATGGTAAAACACATAGAAAGGACTGCCTTTCTATTGTTGCTAACTACATGTTAAATTACTGCAGTTTTACAGGATATGATGAATTTTATTTACTAAGACTTCCTTTTATTACTATTATTGAATGAAACTAATGTATGTATTCCTGTCATCTGTCTGACTTAAATTCTATTCATTAAATTCATATAAAGAATACTTTATTTATTGCAAACGGAGAGGTTGTCATAACTCCAAGTATCATCAAAGAGTTGTTGTGGATGGTGATGGTGTAATGACCAATCACCGTCCAGGCAGCACAGATAATGTTCTTTAATCTGGTCGAATACAGATTATAAATAAATTATTCTCTACAACTGTTGCCTCTCATTTACCTCTGATTTTCTTTCACACAACTTTGCCCTGTATCTTTTTATTTTTATCATTTATTCTCACAATGCTTTCTCCAGTCCCACATCACATTACCTTAAGCCTGAAGGTCTACAACAGTGTTTTTGCTTTTTGTGACGTTTTCACCATCATTTCACGTCTGATCCCTTTGTCTTTTTATCGGTTCCTTTACCCTCACAGTGCCGGTTGCATGTCAAAAGCCCCACTGACTTTGAGTGGCTGAAGCAGTGTCGTTTCTACTTCAACGAGGACTCAGACAAGATGATGATCAACATCACCGATGTATGCTTTGTTTACCAGAATGAGTTCCTGGGTTGCACAGAAAGACTCGTCATTACACCTTTGACTGACAGGTAAAAGTACACAAATGAAATGAGATGCACACTCACAATTATATTAAGAGATATGCAATATGCAGCCAAAACTATTAAAAATTCAAACCAAAGTCATCAGATAGTTTGAAACAAGCAAAATATCTATTTTTATCCATATACTGTCAGTCGATAGCAGACATCAAATGTCACGTTTGACAGGTGAATGACGGCACAACCGAGAAAAACAATTACTGAGAGAAAAGTTAAAGAAAAGCATAAAGATAGAAACTCATGGCTAACAAAAAAATCAACTTTCTAACATGTTACTACGGGGTAACCAGACGACAAGAAAGCATTTGAGGGGACGGAGGAGTGTGGACGATTAGAAGAGATATGCTCCAACTATGTTCTCCAACTTTGAGGAATGGTATTGGAGAGGTGCTGTTTGATTGAAGGGGGTTGTTCAAAGTATTAACAGAAGATGCACCATCACTTGTGTCACCAGTGAGTTTTAATTTGAAAACAGTTATTCCTCCACTGAATAACTGTTTTCAAATTAAAGGTTAGATTTTTCTTGAATTTTCATTGAGAGATTATTCCACTCCAGTAAGTTATTAATTTATCTGAAGGATTTTTACGCATCTTTGTCAAGGGTGCAAACATATTTGCATAGCATATGCCAGCCAATCAGTGATGTTGACAGAAATCAAAATGTTTGACCTTTGGTGTGGTGCTAAAAGCAAAAAAAAAAAAAAAACTTCCAAGATGTTTTTTAAGAGTGATGTAATATTTGCAATCATTTAAACATGTTAAATGTTGAACCGTTTAAAAATTAGAAAACTGGGAAAATGAATTGGAGGGTACTGTTTTGCATTCTTTTACGGCGATCACCACCCCTGTCACTGGCAGACAAGGTGACTGACAGAGAGAGAAAGGAAAACAATTAGATCAAGCAGGGGAGGCAGTAATGCACCAACAAGCACTAGACTAACTACCAAAAGCACAGCGGGAGAGAAAGACGGTCAGAAAGAAATGTAAGAAGATGCAGAAAGAAACATGGAACAAGACAATGAGACAAAGATGTAAAAGGACAGCAGCATAGAGGGAACTACAAGCAGACATCTGACAGTAGCTCTCCAAAGAAGTGACACAAGGTCCTCATGGCTGGAAGCACCAAAGTAGCTCTGATGCTTTTCTTTCTTCTGGTACTTTATTTTATTCATTTCCCCCATTTGTCTTCTGCTCTATTGTTTTCCTCATTGTGGCAGCCACTGTTTTATTAACATCATCTCCCTGTTCCTGATTTTCCCTTCAACTCCTTCAGTTTATAAAGGTACATTTATAATGGGGGAAAACAGGTTTGGATAAGAAGATCATGAAAAAAGAAACTGTTTTATGCAGTTTTACAAAATATATTTCTAGATATCATTTGTAGTAGATTGCAATTATCTTTTGGCACATATTTGACATTTAGCATTCCTGTGGAGGATCATTATTTGAGTGATTTTAACCAAAGTGAAGAGAAAAAAAAGCGTTTAAGTGTGCATTAGCTTTTGATTGTAAATGCTTCCTTTAGTGGGAAAATTGAAACTTGTATATTTGTGTTTGCTTATTTTTGCTCAGATGTTACATCACCTTAGCTCAGGCTCTTGGTATGAGCATGGGTGGAGCTCCTGCTGGTCCCGCAGGCACAGGTAAGACTGAAACAACAGCATGGTTACAGACATGGCACTGTGATGAACACAAAGATCTAGCCTGCACAATGTGTTATCAGTGAGGAAGGTCCTTGATTATTCTTAGGGAAGGTTTAGTGGAATTAAATGTAGGATGAGCAAATCTCTAAAACAATTATCTTCAGAAAGCCTATTAATTGACTGCACACTATTTGTTTGAAGAACTTTCAAAGAAAAGGTAATTTGGAGATAGGCCTGTAAGTACTAACAGCTGTAGGATTTAGTGCTGTTTTCTTCTCTATTGCTGCATATTTAAAATCCCTAGGGACCACGCCCCACAGTAAACTAATTTACCAGTTTAAGAATCAGAGTTGCGATTGTGAGTAAAACCTTTTTAATTAGTCAGCTAGGGACAGTATCATCCGGAGGCCGCGTGGGCTTGAAATGACCAACAATCACTTGTAGTGAGGACGCTGTCACATGCTCAAACTTGTTAAAGACATCAGAGCAGGGAACTGAGATTGAGGGATAGTGAGCAAAAAGAGAAATTTGAGCTCTGGCAGAGGAGACCTGTATATAAAAAGTGCAGAAAGCTCGGTGCAGTCAGACTGAGGCACATAGAGAACAGATTCAATAGTCTTCAGTAGAACACAATCATTTCAACATAAAAATGACACAAAACAGCTTTCTTTTGCTGTCTTTTACAGTTTTTTTTTAATTACACCTTTTCAGGCAAACCATTTGTAAAAACATCACTTTTTTTTGCTTCACTTTGAGTTGGTTGAGGACAAAAAACAATGAAATACATAGAAGTTTTTGGTTGTAAGTTCACAAAACGTGAATAATGTCAAAGGGCATAAATACTTGTGAACCCTCTTGTGTACTTCAGTTTTTGGAAGTGAGTTATTTTATTTTTCTTATTAGGTAAGACTGAGACTATAAAGGACATGGGTCGCTGTCTGGGAAAATATGTTGTGGTCTTCAATTGCTCTGACCAGATGGATTTCAGAGGCTTGGGAAGAATATTCAAGGGTAAATATTACATAGCTGAATAATGCATGTAATAGTTAAAGAGGTTTACAGATTCATTTATTTATTTTTTTTTTTTTTACAAATGACTTATAATAATAACAGAATGACTAAGCTCTGTGTTATTTCCAGGTCTGGCTCAGTCTGGATCTTGGGGATGCTTTGATGAATTTAATCGCATTGACCTCCCAGTTCTGTCGGTGGCAGCCCAGCAGATTGCAATAGTTCTTACATGCAAGAAAGAGCGCCGCAAAAACTTTGTCTTCACCGATGGAGACAATGTTGACATGAATCCTGAGTTTGGCATCTTCCTTACCATGGTAGGTAAACCTACCGTACTTGATAATGTCAGCGATCCATTGTGACGCAGTTCAACAAGGCGTTATCTGGCAAGTCAACTGAAAAAGATCAGTGACTAAATTTCTTATAGTGCTCTGGCTTACTCAAACTCAGCTGTCTGCCAACCTAACTTTTTTGTCCTTTTCAATCCGTCTGATTTGATCAATGTCCAGCTTGGTATTGATCCTGCTCTGTTTTGCAGTCCAGGCAGATCTTCTTCTGCTGAACTCCCTCCCTAAGGCAAGCTATGGTTCTTTGTGGGAGAACATAGAGTAAGGCATGAAGCCAAATAATAATGCTATAAATTGCTACTATAACTTCTGATTGTTAGCATTTCTAAAGAATTGTCGTGGATTTTACTCTCCATAATAATTTACCTTTTTAACTGGTTTAGGGGATGTGAAGTTAGAATATATTTTATAGTCCCTTCACAAAATGAGGACTGTTTTGTGATATATGTTTTCAGTTGATTCTCTTAACTACAGTCCGTGTAGAAATTAAATTTTAAATTCAAGCTTTGTTCATGGATTTGGCTGAAGACTTTTGAGCAATAAAAGTAAAGAAAATATGCCCCCTTTAAATTGTTGCATGGTTGGACAGAATTAAACAATTCCATAACTTAAAAGCTGAATTAACAGCATAAATTCAAATTTTATTCCACCCCAGAGGCACGGCCTTGATACGATCAATAACAAACTGAGGGACTGAATGAGAAATGAGTAGTTTTAAATATGTCTTAGCATTTAAACAGAGTCCACCATTTTTTTTTTTGCAGACTCAATACATCTTATTAGATAAACACAGCAGCAGTGTGGTTAAAGATAACTTTATGTCTTCCTTGCTCTTTCTCTCTTGCTCTGTGGTTGTGGTTGTGTGTGTGTGTGTAATAATCAAAGACAAGTTATGTAAAAAAAAAAAAAAGATGCTTTATGTTGTGTCCTTTGAGGATAAAAGCCAGAACTAGAAGAAACTGAATTTCTGGGATTCAAAAGTTTTAACTTCATCCTTGATTACATAAGCTCTATGATAAAGACATTGTGTATTGTTATATATGGAGCTCTCCACATTTACTAGTGGTTTGGATAAATATGTGCCAAAATATTGTAAAGTAACTTCAAAATGTATTGAAGTCACTCAAGCTCACTCTGAAAAATGGCACGTATCCATCCTATCGGGTACATTTTTGTTATTGCTATAAACCACAGCAAGTGGGACCACTAATAAATCTTATAATTGTAGCTGAACCATTTTATAATTTATGCTTTAAGTGTTTTAAGTTAATTGGTCTGTTGGAGCTTTTAATTTACACTATGAACATGACATCGAGGGCAATTTCTCTGAGTATATCTTCAAAATGGGGAAGGGGAGAGTAGATGCCATTCAGTTTTAGGCAAGTCATAAGACAGTTGCTCCTGAACAAACTTTGTCAGATTATTACTTAAAAAGTTTCAGATAATGGGAACAGTGACATACCTGGTATCATGTACAGTGAGGACAATAGTAAGAGGTAAACACAAAAGCTCAATAATTTGCTAATAGAGAATAATTGTGGGCTTTTTTTTATTGGGAGAACATGCTACTGCAATAAAAGATTAGTTTATTTGAAGATGTTTTTGAATGTCTTTACCAAGGGTCCAATAATTTTAAAGGGTTGTTTATAAATAGTAAAATGCATTGCTATACATAGAATGTCATTCAATATGTAAGTATTAAACTTCCTATTTTGATGCTTGTATTGTTGTTATATCCATACAATTATTATTTTTTTTTGTTGTTTTACCACTGAGATCTGAAATATACATATTTTATTGTATATACATGTATATAACATTATTCACTCTTGGTTTACGGCTTCTTTTTGTTCTGTATAACTAGAACCCGGGTTATGCAGGTCGCCAGGAGCTTCCAGAAAACCTAAAAATCAATTTCCGATCTGTAGCCATGATGGTTCCTGACCGCCAGATCATTATTAGAGTAAAACTGGCCAGTTGTGGATTCATAGACAACATGGAGTTGGCTCGCAAATTCTTCACGCTTTACAAGTTGTGTGAAGAGCAGCTTTCGAAACAGGTAAAAAGTTGTACAAGCCATGCCAAAGGTGAAATGAAAGACTTCACATAACATTTGTCATATGTGTCAATATTGGTTATCTTTGGCTAATTCATAATATTTTGCCATTTACGTGTGATCCAAGAAGGGTAAAAGATCTTGACTGAAAATAGAAACTGCCTAAAGTTTTGAAGGTACTATTACTCATGATTATAATCAACATCTGCTCTGCATAACAGCCCTTTTTTGTCATTGCTCAGGTTCACTATGACTTTGGCCTACGAAACATCCTGTCAGTCCTGCGCACACTGGGAGCAGCCAAGCGGGCGAACCCCACTGACACAGAGTCCACCATTGTCATGAGGGTTCTGAGAGACATGAACCTGTCCAAACTGGTCAGTTTGGAAAGAAACCATTAAATATTGTAGTAGCTGAAATATGTTATTTTTTTTATTTGAACAACATTGGAGGAAAAAATGTTTTTCATGAACAAAACATAAATATTTGTTGTTGTTGATTTGAGCAAATGTGTATGATTTTATGTTTTGTTTTTTTTTTTTTTGGTTTTTTTTTTAAATAAGATTGATGAAGATGAGCCCCTATTTCTGAGCTTGATTGAAGACCTCTTTCCTGGCATCAAGCTTGATAAAGTGGGCTACCCTGACCTAGAAGCTGCCATTGACAAACAGGTAGGAGGGCAAAGCAATGAGTTTGTCTGTAGGCACTGAAAAGTAACATTTTTAAAGGAAATAATTGAGATAAGTATTAAAGGAATAAGGGGATTGCAAAACAAGACACTGAAAAAGAAAGCTAAAGGCAGGAGAAATAAAGAGGCTGAGTGAATTGTAAGACCACTGTACTTCCCATATCATCCTTAAGGGCTTCAAAACACTACAGCACCCAAAGGGATACTAATGACACCATTAGTCTCTTCACAAAAACTAAGTACAGGGGGAAACATTTAGAGATGCAGTAAAATGTTAATTCTGAAAATGTTCCCTTTTCATGTGTGTATTTCATGGATTACAGTATTTGGCTGCAAAAATGTAAACTTCTCAGTAAATTTGCAATTTTAATACAATAACAAATAATAATGCCATCCTCTAATACACATAATCTACATGCAGTTTAAGTTATTGCTCACTTTTTGCTGATGCAGGTTGAAGATGCAGGTCTGATCTGCCATTCTCCCTGGAAGCTAAAGGTTATTCAGCTCTTTGAGACCCAGAGAGTTCGACATGGTATGATGGCCCTCGGACCAAGCGGAGCTGGAAAAACCACCTGTATTCATACCCTGATGAAAGCTATGACAGGTAAGATTTTGTAACTCCTACTACACTGGTTAACTCATAAGGTTTTTGACAGTTTTTTGTTTTCACTTTTGTACACTTTTTTCTGCTATCATTTTTCATTCTTTGATGTCGCACTTAATCCCGTTGCATAAAAATATGGCTCATATGAACTATTCTTAAATTTTTAACATATCCTTTCTTGGAAATTTCCTAACTATTCTTGTAACATGAAGTATCAATTACCATGTTGATGTGAATGAGTTGAATTGTATAGAGACCCACATGTTCCTTGTGGGCAAAAAAAAAACCCAGTTACTTCAAAGTTTAGCATATAAGAAACCATCAGTGCTTTATAACTACAGAAAAGTAATTGGTCAGCATGTTCTCTGTGCAGAGTGTGGTCAACCTCACAGAGAAATGCGTATGAACCCCAAAGCCATCACTGCACCTCAGATGTTTGGAAGACTGGATGTAGCCACGAATGACTGGACTGATGGCATCTTTTCTACACTTTGGAGAAAAACTTTGAGAGCAAAAAAAGGTCAGAACATTTTGTCATGCAGAAATAATTTCCCTTAATGACAGTTCAGAAGCTGTTGAGGAGCCCAACACCATGTTGCTCCTTGTACCTACCCTAAGAGACTTTGATAGTGTATTAAATTGTCCAAGAAAAGAAAAACCTAAAATAAATGAAATTAACCAGCAGGGCCAAACTTACCAAGGTAGTACCCCAGATCCCATAGGTTTTGGGGCCCCTCAGATATTTTGTTTTTGAATAGATGAAACATGTTATTTATGTAACTGTATTCACACAAGAACATATTTCCCTTTTAGGAGAGCACATCTGGATTGTACTAGACGGACCTGTTGATGCCATTTGGATTGAAAACTTAAACTCTGTTTTGGACGACAACAAAACTCTGACATTGGCAAATGGAGACCGTATACCGATGGCGCCCAACTGCAAGGTGGTTTTTGAGCCACATAACATTGACAATGCTTCTCCAGCCACCGTGTCACGTAATGGCATGGTGTTCATGAGCTCCTCAGTTCTCAGCTGGAGCCCAATTCTGGAGGTAAATAATTTATTTCGAATTGTATTTTCCAAAGCAACTTAAACCCCTTCTACTGAATGATTGTAGAATTTCAGATATCAGAATATCAGAGGTTTAAGGCAATTGTAGCTCAAATAGACACTTACTACAACACAAATTTCACACCATGGTGATGTAGTCAACAAATCTGCTGCAACTGCTTGATGCTGTCATGTTTAATATAGATCCAAATCACTGAAAATCTACCTTCAGGATTGTTTTCTGATTCTTTATAGAATCTATACCACAATTAATTAAGGCAGTTCTGAGGGCCAAACAGGTTCCAGGTCAGTCGTGTGAGCATTTACCTAAAAAAGTGACCGAGTGTAGGAAGTGTGCTGCTTGGCTTATACAAACCAGCTTTTGGAGCTGCACTTTTTTACATGTATTATAAACAGTTTAGGACATATTTATCAAAAGTGTTTACACTGACATTTTTGAGCTAATATGAATAAAAATTTTCAAATTTCCACAGTGTCAACCACTCATATGTGTGTTTACTCCTACCAGGGTTGGTTGAAGAAACGCTCTCCACAGGAGGCAAAGGTACTGAGAAAGCTGTTCTCTTCTTCCTTCTCTGAGCTGTACTGCTTCAGCTTGCAGTCACTGGAGTTCAAGATGGAAATGTTGGAGGCCTTTGTCATCATGCAATGCATAAACATGCTGCAGGGACTAATTCCCCCAAAGGTAATATACATTTTAAAATATGACAACAATGTACATATTTTTAAGTTTCTGTTAAAGCTCAACAGCTAAGTCACAGAAACCATCTAACCCCAGTTAGATGATTTACTTTGTAGTAAAGATAATCTTAAAGCAGTCGGAGGCAAAATAAAAGAAAGAAATTAAGCTTTTTTTTTTAGGAACAAAAAGATAAACCACAAGTGGGACAGAACCGCCTGAGGACTTGAGAGAGAAGAACATGTCAAACCGCAGATCTGAGAATCTATGATGAAATATCTGCAGAAGTGGCAATACTCAGACAAACAACATCTTTATTACTGAATGTTCCAGTGTGATGAAACTGAGATGAAACGTTTTTAGCACAAACCTAATAGAAAACGTGAAGAAAGCCACACTTATCTTCATGCAGGGATAGTAGGTAGCATTAATTTTTTTTATATATTGGTAGCAGAAAACAGAAGAGGTGTAAAACAGAAAACCAGATAATCTTCTTAAGTTCACCTTAAAAATTGTTGATTCTCTGCCATCTGTTCAGTTTGGGGAAATCCTTGAAGAAATCACTCAGCTCTAGGGCAAAATCTACCTTTTGCCTTAGACGACCATCTTTCGGCAAAGCTTAAATTAATCATATGCTTAACACCCTGTATTTAGATCTTTTATTGAGCAGTAACGTCAAAAAATTTAACAATCCCTTAATAACAAACAGTATAGCACACTTGGTGATGATTTATTTTCATTATCAAATTAACATTAGGCTTGTGTTTACCAGTCATGGACCCGAGGGCACTCTTCACTCTAGATCATAGATTTCTACTTTGTTTAGCACAAATGATTAACGTAAATGACTCGATTTTTGTCTAAACTAAAACGGAAACCTGTGCCATTTCTGTATTGCTTTCAAAGTAGTTCAATCACCAGATGGCAGTGGTTTGTTTGTTAGGACTCCTTTTTACAATAAAGCAGGGCACTGTGACTAACCAATGCTTGAAGTGTACTTCAGCCATTTGCTTAACATGTTTTCCTCAATTAATGAGATATGTTTCTACCTTCCTTTTTAATAGTCATTATCACTTTTTAGCTTTTCACAGTCAGTGACATGTTTGGAAATGAAGAAAATATATTTTTACAGTCAAATGTTTGCTTCATTTCCCAGTGGTATGAAACGAAGCAAACAAACCGAGGGATATTTCAGTATTTTCTTTTTAAAGTAGGCAGTTAACCAGCATTCCTGTATTTAATGTCGTCTTTAGGTTAGGAACTATTTGACATAAGACTGATTAGTCAAGAAAATGAATAAAATCCATGGTAAAAGAAGTTTAAAACACAACAAACTGTGGAAAACTTGAGAATAAAACCAACATATTTGGCCTCTTTTTTTTTCTATTTTTTTAATTTTATTTTACAATTTTAACCTTTTTGAAGTGAAAGTCACTTGCGCAACTTTTTTCAAGAACATTTTCACTATTCAGGAACACTGTGGTGAGTTATCTTTGGAGCACCTGGAGCGACTTTACGTCTTTGCCCTCATGTGGAGCTGCGGGGCTTTACTTGAGCTGGAGGACAGAAGGAAGATGGAGGCCTGGCTCAGAGGAAATGACAGTATCTGTTTAAATTTACCAGACATTCCTTCACCCAGTGACAACACCATGTTTGACTACTATGTAACATCAGAAGGTAATTATATAAGTATAAACACATATTTGGGATCAGATGTCAGAAAATTCACACTTTTTTTTTTAAAGGCTAGAAAATATGTTTGATGTTCTGTTTTGTTTTATTTTTATGTAAGTTAGCAAGAACCTACAGTCCCATATGATAAAATTACATGTTTAAAAGATGTATTTAAAATATATACCTCATCTTCAGTGCTTATTTTCACATATCATTTCTCTCTAAAAATGTGTGTCTTTCCAGGCCACTGGGTCCACTGGAACACCAGGGTGGAAGAATACTTTTATCCGTCTGAAGTCACCCCAGAGTACAGCTCTATTTTGGTCCCCAATGTCGACAATGTTAGAACAGACTTCCTGATTCAGACTATTGCAAAGCAGGGCAAGGTAAAAAAAAAAAATAATAATAATAAAATAATGAAAAAGTGACAAACGATAAATATCTGTGTGAAACAAGCTTTCACCTCAAGACTAATCTGAAATGTCAGATGCAATATTTTTGTCTGTAGGTTGTTCATCCATCAGCATATGTTTTTTTTCATTTATTTTTGATGTGATACAAGATGAAGAGACAACTGTGGGCAGAAATGTTTAGCACAAGCAGTGTGAACCACATTTATTAGCACCCCTGCTGAAGATGTGTGAAAACCTTAAAATAGAGACACAAAACAGCTTAATTATTCTGAAAAGTGTGGAAAGATCAAATCGCAGATTTGACTCCATTTATTCAGTTTAGGTGGGGGCGGGGGTACCGAATAGATATTAAAGAAGAGAAGAGGGCACAGTGAAGCCAAGAATCTGGACTATCTAGAGAGATTGGATCTATAGAAATTCCCTATATGATACAACACTGTCAATATGTCATAAAAGAGGACTACGTGCTGCCTTGTTGCCAATAGACAGCTAAATAAAATACTAAACTGTGATTTTATTAGAAAATTATTTCTTCATTTGGATTGTTGTTTTTCTTCCCTCTGGGTGTGTTTGGAACTAAACACCTCAGGATTAGATTCATTTTTCTCTTTAATTTTAGTCAGCCTCATTTTAATACCAAAGTCCTGCAAACCAATGCATGTTTTTATCTGTTCCTGAGCACATTGAGCTTATGCTAATGTCCTCAGGAGAGGATAGAAGTAACTAGAACATTTGACTTTAAAATGCGAAAAATAAATCACAAGTAAAACCCACGAAAAGCGTGTCTGCTTTCTACAGTAGACATCAGGACAGAGTCGTCAAATTAAACGATTGTTTGCTCAGTGAAAACAGACAGTAAACGCCTCTTCTCCACATCATTTGCATTGTTTTCTGTTCTTATTGAGATGTTTCCCTCAAGGGGACTTGAAACTAATTTCAAATGCAAATGTTTTCAAAGGCTGTTTTGCTGATTGGAGAGCAAGGAACAGCCAAGACCGTCATGATCAAAGGCTACATGTCAAATTATGACCCTGAGAGCCACATTGGAAAAAGTCTCAACTTCTCTTCTGCTACTACGCCTCTCATGTTCCAGGTAAAGATCTTCAAAGTAGTCTTCAACAGCTTAACAGAAATATAACTTACTGCTTCATTACGTTTTCATTTTCTAGAATAAAAAACAACAAAAAAAAACAACAACTTTGCTTTTGTGTCAGCTCTCGCCTTCATTTGTGTCTTCGTCTTTAGTAGCATTCCCTAGTAACCTTGGCTTGTTTTGTAGAGAACGGTTGAGAGCTTCGTGGACAAGAGGATGGGGACGACCTATGGTCCTCCTGCTGGGAAGAAAATGTCAATATTCATAGATGATATCAACATGCCTGTCATCAATGAATGGGGAGACCAGGTTAGCAATCAGTCCCGAAATGGCTCTATCCAAACATTTCATCTTCATGATGATAAAGTTTGAATTTGTAATAACATCATCTTTGCTTTTTTTTGTACCTAGGTGACCAATGAGATTGTCAGACAGCTGATGGAGCAGAATGGCTTCTTCAACCTGGAGAAGCCGGGAGAGTTCACCAATATTGTTGACGTTCAGTTCCTGGCAGCCATGATTCATCCAGGAGGAGGGCGCAATGACATTCCACAGAGGCTGAAAAGGCAGTTCTCTGTCTTTAACTGCACACTTCCCTCCAATGCCTCCATCGATAAGATATTTGGTTAGTAAAACGGTGTGAAAAGCATCAGCGATGTCATTTCAAAATGATTTATGTTCAGATTTTTTTTTTGACACCGTAATAAAGTGATGTAAAAAAAAAAAAAAAGAGTTGGGGTCTAATGCATTCTAGATCCTGTGTCTTTGAAAAGAATGTATAATAATACCACAATCGGTTCCCTCATTGCACAGGTGTGATTGGCGAGGGCTACTTCTGCGCTCGGCGAGAGTTCAGCGACGAGGTTCAGAGCACTGTGCATCGCTTGGTGTCTCTAACCCGACGTCTCTGGCAGATCACAAAGCTTAAGATGCTTCCGACTCCTGCAAAGTTTCACTACATCTTCAATCTGAGAGACCTGTCCAGGGTATGGCAGGGGATGCTTACAACTACCGCTGAGGTAGTCAGCTCGGTCCAGGTGAGGTGGATTTTATGTTGCGTCTTCCTAGCTGTTCTTTTTAACTATTAGATTTTTATATCATGTTTAGATGTAAAGTATATTCATCATGCCCCTGTGCAAAGGTTTGATTTATTCAGAAGTATGTGAAAAATAACTATTTTAAGTCTCCTTTAAAGATATAGAGTGGCAGTAAAACAGCATGATATACTATTAGATGAAATATTCACAATACTAGAGAGATATACGAGCGTCTCTTGGTAGAGATGGATTAAACGGAAATAAGAAATATCTGCATTTAAAATTCAGTTCTTGCTGAGGTGGCCCACTCTACATTAGTATGTGGCCTTACTGAATAATTGAACACAGTCAAATTTATACTCTAGCTCAGACTGTCCTACATCCCTGCTGTGGCTCCCAGCCAAACTCAGATTGCTCTGGGGCAAAACTCATAACATTCAGTCAACAAAACAAACCAACCAGAATATAGGGGCTGGTACTTGTTTCTAAGTTAATATACAAACTCATTTTGGACTAAAGGAGTTCCTTCCTTTCAAAGACATGTCCCAGTTTGACTTTGCTCCTATTTTTTATTGTTTTTGCAGTTGATTTGAGTAATCTTTGCTATCCTTCTGTCTTCACGGAAAACAATAATTTCCCAGGTGTTGCTGGCTCTGTGGAAGCACGAGTGCAAACGTGTGATAGCTGATAGATTCACAATGCCTGATGACGTGGAGTGGTTTGACCAAGCTCTGGCAAAGCTGGTGGGAGACGAGCTGGGGGAGGAGCTCAGGAATACGGTGGATTTTGGAGTAGACAGATACTTTGTCGACTTCTTAAGAGATGCACCAGAAGCTACAGGTACCGATGAAGCATGAATACGTGCCATTATTCTTTTAGGGGATATTTCCCATATTCTCTCTTTGACATTTAATTGTATTATTGTGAAACTATTTTCTCACAGGGGAGGAACCAGAAGATTCAGACTTTGATTTACCCAAGGTGTATGAGCCTATTGAGTCATTTGAGAGTTTAAAGGAGCGTCTAAATATGTTCCTGTGTCATTATAATGAGAGCATCAGGGGTACCGGCATGGACATGGTCTTCTTTCAGGATGCGATGACACATCTGATCAAGGTACATTATCAACCGTTATGTGGTGAACATAGTCATACATAGATCATTGCTCTTTTTGCACAATTTCAAACACTGTCAAAACGTGACCCCTACAGCATCATTTAAACCTGTATATTTTACGTAAAGGCTAATTTATAGCTACAATGAGGAACTTTGTGTTGTGTACAAAGGTTAGTTGTTTATATTAAGAGCAGGTTTGATGTAAGACCTGTTAAACAGCTGTGAGGCTTAACATGAATTCCCTTTATTTTTTTAATTTTCCTTTATTTACTTAAAGGCAAAATGCTTGCGGAGGTCAGAAATTACATATTAGGGATTAGCATGAGTAAATTAGCATGAGTAAATAGCTAACCCTTATAAATGAAATGAGCAGTATAACTGTAAACATCCTAGAGAACATTGAAACTTTCCCCAACTCTCAGATTTTTAAATGTAGCCTGTTCATGACATGCAGTTTAAAAGCTTAAAGAATCAAGCAAAGCTATTTTGCTGTAACAAATTTGGCTTTCCTGTTACCCACTTTTGTCTCTCTTCTTGCTTAAGGGGCATAGCAAGCCCATGTCTCTGCTATACCCTTTTTTCCCTTATGCTTCTTTTTTATTATTATTCTTTTTTATTATTATTATTATTTTTTTTTTTTTACATTTTTGAATGTTTCACTGATGCTACAAATTTCCAAAAGGATCTCATATACGGGCTCAGTACATTTGTACCAATGTGATATACAATCATGTTCAATAAGTTAGAATATGCACACTGATGACGGTTGTTTGTCAGAATAAAAATACCTTTTGAAAACAGCAGCGTGTTCCGGTATTAAACACACTGTCTTTAACCCCACATTCCTGTAATAAAAAAAAAAACAGTTTTTTTATTGGTCTGAAGTAATGTTATAATCTTGTGAGAAATTAAATGTCTTGGTTTTCATTAGTTGTAATATAATAATTATATTTTTCCGATTATAGGAAGAATTTCTCAAATAGACTGTGTAATGCGTTTCACTGAGTGAATTGAGTTACTGAAATAAATTAACTCATCAATGATATTTTAACTTATTGAATATGACTTTACTTGCATGTCATCTTTATTTTGCATGTTTACATATGGTTTATGTGTGCAGGTATCAAGAATAATTCGGACACCAGGAGGTAATGCCTTGTTGGTGGGTGTTGGAGGTTCTGGCAAACAGAGCCTGATCAGGTTGGCCTCATTCATAGCCGGATACAAAACCTTCCAGATAACCCTCACACGGTAACGCTCGCACTCATTACCACAATTTCAGTATTCATTTCCAACATCTGTGGCATGAGAAAGTTGAAAAATCTGTTTTGTCTGAGGTAACTTCTGACTTTAGCTTTTCAATCATGATAAAAACAATTGAAATCTGTTTATTTATTGTAGCTCTTTGCATCCCTTATCCTTCTTCATCTACTGTTGGAACTTATTTATGAGAAAAAGAACAACCTTATATTTTATTAACTTTTTTCCCCCTGTTCTCAATAAGTATTGTATTATTTTTTATCTCACTCTCTTTGTTACTGTCCGCGGCTGTCAAAGGTTTTTCCACATGTTCCCTGTGGGCACTTGTGGTCATCATGTTTCCCTCTGGCTAAGTCTCTAACTGGGTTTGGTGGTTGCTATTAATATGAATGAGCCTTTTTTTTCCTCCTCTTGACTTGCCAAAGTATCTCCAGGGGAAACAGGCACTTCAGCTGCATGTTTACTTTATTTATTTATATTCTTCTGCTTACTCTTTTCTCTAGCATACAAAAGACCCGTACACATTTATTTAGTCTGGTAAAGTGGAATCTGTTTTAAATGGAAAATTTATTTAGCTTTTTGCGTCTTTAAATTATGAGTCTGTTAATTCTTCAGAACAGTTTGCTCTTGATTATTTCTTATGACAGCTTTGAGTGGCAGACAGTTTAATGTCATGGCAATGTTGTTTTGCACTCATGTTAATTATAAAGTCCGCTTCGAAGGTGTTATACACAAGGATACGTTAAAGAAACACTTGTGGTTCTCCCACTCACCCACCAACAAAGGATTATACATTGACAAAAAATAAGTTAAAATGAACTGAGCAACACAAATTAAGTTAGTAATTATGTAAATGAAAAATGTTTTTACATACCGTGTCAATAAATGTTTCAAATACAAAGTAGTAAGTACAACAATTATCATCAATTATCACAAATATCATCTTGTTTTTCCTCTGTTTTACTTTGTAAATTCCAAACTACTAAAAGGGTTACATTTTCTGTGCAAAAAGTATTTGGAAAATGCAACTTTCTTTTGTAGGTATTTTTCAATATTTTTCTAAATGTCTGTGTGTCATAAACCGAATAGAAAAAAAAGTGCCATGTTTTTGCTTGTCACTCCTTTTGATGCTCGTCTATGCACCAGTAGAGAAATATTTTTTTTAACAAGCAATAATTTTACTCCAGTAGTCCCTAAGGCACGGACAACCAACTAGTAATAAAAGCTGAAATTTGAGGTTTCCTCACTTTTTTTTTATATGAAATGAATTTGAAGAAGTCTGCTGCAAGCCCCGTCTTCTGAAATTTTGACTAACAAAAGGTTTGCATTTGCTTAAATGTTGCAGCTCCTATAACACCACTAACTTGCTGGATGATCTAAAAAACTTGTACAAAACAGCTGGTCAGCAGGGGAAAGGTGTCAGCTTCATCTTTACCGACAACGAAATCAAAGATGAGTCCTATCTGGAGTACATGAACAACGTCTTATCATCTGGAGAGGTTGGAATCACAAACATGAAACGCTCAATGTTTTCCTTCACCACCAATAATTTTCCCAACCACTTGGACTTTTCTATCATTTCAATTAGCTTTTTTTCTTCATATGTTCTGTACTGTTCGTTTGATTCCTGTTCATAACTTTGTTGAGTTAAGATGCTCCGCTTGCCTCTCCACGATAGCACAAGAGTCCTTATTTTCTTCCTTCTTCTTCTCTTTGACTCTTTCTCTGCCTCCTTTTCTGAATTGCAATTTGAGCAGCATATGCTTTAACAGGGGAGGTAAATTGAAGTGGGGACCAAGGAATAGGAGGGATTGTGACTGGGCACAGTTTTATCAATAACAGGTTTGTGTTTTGTGGAGAGTTGACTGTGTTGCACAGATTCTTGGGAGATAAGAAACTAAATGGAAAAATAAGCTCCATTTGAGAGAGCGGTCAACCAGGTCAGACAGAGACAACCCCGTCGCACGTCTCTCCTGACGGCTTACAATTGTGGACATAATGCTTGAAATTAGCATGTCATTTTGGAATTGCACTGCCCAATTTATCAATTTTTAAAAAATTTAAACAATGTTGCTTTTTGGAGGTTCTCTGGGTAAATGGGAACAATTATTTGCTTTGAGAAGGTGAATACATTATCCTAATTTCAGTCTTTTTTTAATGTAATAAGTTGAAATGCATCCTGTAGTTAAATAGAACAAAACAAAAAATGTCCCTTTTCATGCACATGAATTTTTTTTAAGATTAGATGAACAATTAGTACAATTCTGCAATAGAGATATGGACTTGCATTATTACTAATTTAATAAAACAAGTGTATATTTTTTTATCTTTAGGTGTCCAATTTGTTCGCTCGTGATGAGATGGATGAAATCCTCAGTGACCTCATTCCTGTTATGCGGCGAGAGTTTCCAAAGCGACCACTGACCAATGAAAACCTGTACGAGTACTTCATGTCACGGGTCCGTCACAATCTCCATGTTGTTTTGTGCTTTTCGCCCGTTGGAGAAAAGTTTCGCAACAGGGCATTGAAGTTTCCAGCACTGATATCTGGCTGCACCATGGACTGGTTTAGCCGCTGGCCAAAAGATGCTCTTGTTGCAGGTACGTCACAAGGGCGACGTCTCATTACGGTGTGAATGGATGTCATTTGTTGGTAGCATTTGTTGGCTTAAATATACATAGTGTTTCATTGTATTCGCTGCTTTGAACATGCTGGTATGTTTATGATTTCTAAAACTTACTGAGCTTTGACTTTATGTCAAAGCTTTCTAAATATTTGGACCACTCGTCAATATTTGTTTTTCAGAATTTAAAGTAATCTCTATGCAGGAGCCTATCATTTTCAAAGAGAATGAACAAGTACCACCAACGCTGGCGAACCCCTTTGTAAAATGGTAAATAAATAAAATGAATAAAATCTATAAAAGAAACTGAAGTTTATGGGGACAGTGTAAGTAAAGTGAAGGTGAAGTTTATAAGTTGGAGTTTGACTGTCAGCCTTTAGAAGCATTTTAAGATTAGAGTAAGGATGATACTGGATATTAGCATGCAGACGTCGCATTGATCCTTACCACCAAATCTAAGGTGCAATAAAAACAGAAACATTTGACAGCTTTGGGGAACGACTAACGACCAATTACACCAACTTTTGTGTCACATTTTAAATCTTCTTTCTGTAAATTATTGACTCACTCAAATCCAGCTCTGCTGATACGTCAAACGACGGGGGGGAAAAAGTCAATAATTGAAACTCATCCCAGCTGTTAGACCCAGCCCGTCTTAAAGTTTGAATTTTGGAGCTACATTTATGTGTTGGCATGTCAGCTTTGGATTATTCCTTTTTATGTTTTATTTTGACTGATTCACACTTTTTTTTCCATATGCATTCTGCCATTCAGTTTCAGAGCACTTCTTGTCTGCGTATGATATTGAGTGCTCAACGCAGATCAAACACCAGGTAGTCCAGTGCATGGGCTCCTTCCAGGACGGTGTTGCAGAAAAGTGTGTGGAGTATTTTCAGAGGTACAGCATTTCAACACACTGGATGTTTAAGCTTGGAACCTTACATGACATAAAAAAGCACATTAAACATATAACAATAATTTTGTTATTCTAGTCCTTTCTCCCAAAGGACTAGAATAGTTGACGTAAGAGTGCATGAAGAGATGACTGTAATTTTTGGCTTACAATTGAGTTTTTTTTTTTTTTTTTTTTTTTAAGATAATATAATATGCTAGTTTTTTAACTGTGCATTCAAGCTGAAGAAGATGCTTAATAGGTAAATTAAAAATTTGAGATTTGCGACTTCTTAACATGTCATAAATTTATTCTAATGCGATCTTAACTCAACCTAGATACCGGCGATCCACCCATGTCACACCCAAGTCCTATCTGTCCTTCGTTCAAGGCTATAAGACGATCTATAAGGAGAAGAGATCTGAAGTCCAGACACTGGCCAACAGGTAAAGAGTAAAGAATAAATGAAATATGGTGTTAATAAAGTGCCCATGCATGATAACAAATGTGATCTATGTGTAACCTCAAGCAATAACAACAATTCTTGTTTACTTTTATCATAATTCAGTTATAACTTATTTCACTACTGTAGTCATACGTAAACTAATTTTGAGCTTATTTTAAACTGCAATCATTTCCAGTGTAATATTCAACACGATAGGGTCAAATTGTGAGTTAGAAATTAATTTTTTTCTGGTAAATCATGCTCATTTACCAGATCTTATTTCATGCTTAATTTTGTTTAAAAACCAAATGAAGTGCATCAAGTACTGAAAGAGATTCCACACACGAAAGCAACATGAAATGTTTTCTTTAACGATTATTTCCCAAGAACCTCTGAGATTTATTGGCAGCTGCTGAAGGGCGCTACCTTGACATTAAAATTCTGACTCATGACACAAAAGATGAAACACACGTGTAATGCCCAAGTATTTCAATTACCTGGTGCTAAACAGAGATTGATTCAAACAGGAAGTCATTCGGGTCAGCTTAAAGCTTTACAACTACTTTACAAATGCAATCATTTGTCCTGATTTTCAGATTCATACTAGATGGGCTTCCGTCCACACCACCGTAACCTTCATGCCACAAATTTTCAGAATTTGCATTAAATCTGAATGATTGTTTTTACTGTGTAGGATGAACACTGGCCTGAAAAAGCTGAAAGAGGCATCAGAATCAGTAGCAGCTCTGAGCAAGGAGCTGGAGGTGAAAGAAAAAGAGCTACAGGTTGCCAATGACAAGGCCGATACGGTAAGCAGATTCGTTTCGCCTACATCTGAGTGGTTTCTGTTTTAGGTTCTTAAAGACGTATTTTTTCTGACAGCTGGAAGAGAACCTATGAATTCATTTCCATTTTTTAAGTAAATATTTACTTTGGGAAATTCAGTTTGTACCCTATGTGCTTGTGCATGCTTTATCGGTGATAAAATCCAAAATATGTGTCTGTGTTAATGGAAAAATAATAAACCTGTGTTGTTTTTTGTCTCTCTCTTGTTCTTTTTTTAAATAATATTTTAAAAAAAACAAACACTTCAGCATAACATAAAGTTCCGGTCAGAAATCTCCCTAATCTCATCATCTTATAAAAATCAGGTTGTTTAGCTTTTAAATATTTAGTTTTTTAACAAGACATTTTTCCAAGTTGGAATTCTGATGCCACATTAAACTTTAATGAATTTTTAAAACCAGAAGATGGTACCCAGTTACAACAGATGTAAACCTCTCAGAGGAAATGCAGACATTTAAGAGTATGCTCTAAGATTAAAGCTTTTGTGTGGCGTGATTCTGCTGAAAGGTTTGCAACAATCCATGTTTAATCAGGATAGCTTGATTTGTGTCTTGGCTTGTAACTTTAACCATGTTCCACACATTATTTTAAACGTGTGTGTTAGTCAGTTATGGTGCGAGATTTCATTTTCGCCCTGCTGTGTGGTCAAAAGTGAACACTGGCGATACTCATGGACATGACTCATTTTTCTTCCAGGTTCTCAAAGAGGTGACTGTAAAAGCCCAGGCGGCAGAGCGGGTAAAGGTCGAAGTACAGAAAGTGAAGGACAAGGCTCAAGCCATTGTGGACAGCATCTCAGCTGACAAGGCCATTGCTGAGGAGAAGCTGGAAGCCGCACGGCCAGCTCTGGAGGAAGCAGAGGCTGCACTACAGGCATGGCACTCATAACAGTTAATATGCAGTATGCAATTACCAGGTTTTACCTAGCTTTTTTTTTTTTTTCATGGGGGGACTGATTTAATTTTGGTTTTGTGTATGTGAATAAAGTCCAGACTCAAATTGTTCTAAATGCTAACACAGATTAGTTTCAGTCTGCAGACTGCACAACAAAACAGTTGAAGATAATGATTATTTGTTTTGGATCCAAAGGGCTGCACAATAGATAATGACCTGGCAATCATAGAAGGTGATAGCACTCACACATTATTACACGGTTATTTTTTTTACCCCCCCACATTGTTCTTAATAATAAAGCATCTGGCATTCATGAATGCCTGAACTACGTGTGACACGTTGCGTCAAACTAAAACAGATGAGACTCTTGGGTATTAATAATCGATGCCATGGTCCTGCAAATCACAAAGCAAGTCGGTGTATAAAATTTGAGGCTTGTCCGCTGGCAAAAATAAATAAATGAGCAAGATGTGCTTTTCCAAGGAAATGAAAATGACAAACACTGCAAACCATTTCCTTTCAAGATAACTATTGCCATGTGCTGTATATTCTGTTGGAACAACAGATTTTTATAGACAAATGTGTCCTCCAGTGTAGTAAACCTCTGCCAACTTGTTTATTTCTGCAGTATTTGATTTTATTCCATTTCTGCCTAGACTTGAGATTAAGCCTCTGAGCCTTCTAAATGGCAGTGGCAAAAGCTCAGTGTTTCGCCAATATATCAGTTGTATATTATAGGGAGCTCAAAGATGTAATGTAGAAAAATAGTTGTTTTTTGTTTTGTTTTTGTTTTTTTAATGATAGTTTTTCTTTTGAGTAGATTCCCTAACGTGCCTGAAAGTCTGTGTTGGGAAATCATATGTTGCTTTTACTTGAAGATGCTGAAGAAATTGTCAAGAGAATAAGATAAAGAGAGCTTAAGTTGTGTTCTCAAAAGAGTGTTATGCTTTGAAAGTTTTGAGTAAAGAATTTGGCAAAAACATCCAAACAAGTAATTACCTCCACTGCAATTTTATGAAATGTATAGAGATAAAAAAAACAAACTGCAATTATAGTGATTTATTTAATGGGAGAGAAGAAAAAAGTTCTGCGTTGCACCAGGTTTTAAAATTGATGAAATGCGCATAAGCCACAATACATCACACTCTAAAAACATAGGTTATTTAATGTAATGGTCAGGAAAAAAAACTATAAATATTCCAAGAATAAAATGTTTGATCTATTCATACCTTATGATGGTGAGAGTTGCTGTAGAAAGATATATCGCATGATTTTTTTTTGTATCTCTCCATGAGTTTACCCTGATTCCTCTTTAAAACCCCCATCATTAATGGTTTTTGAATAGGTTGAGTCTGTCTTTTGGCTGTGATGATGCTTCATTTGTCAATGTGTTTTCATATTGTTTTTTGACTTATTTAATCTGTTTTCGGATCGTTATCTGCATTCAGGTCCAACTCATGAATTCCACCTCATTCCTGTCACGTTCAGAGAAAGCCTGGCGAAGCATGAGGGCAATGGCTTTCTGGCTACATTGTCCAACAGCATAAACTATGTAGCTTAAAGCTCATTTAAATGCAGATACATTACCAGATGAAATAGGGAAGCACCATTAATTTAGGTGCCTTTACATTGTAGTAAGAACTGCAAGTGAGGATAAGAGTTTCAGTCGAAATGTTATCCATCTTTTTCTGCCCCGTTTATATAAAAACATATCTTGGATGTTTCCTTTATCTTTTCAAACTTAGACAATCAAGCCATCAGATATCGCCACTGTACGGACACTTGGACGGCCTCCCCACCTCATCATGCGCATCATGGACTGTGTGCTGCTACTCTTCCAGAGGAGGGTCAATAGCGTGAAGGTCGATCCGGAGAAAAACTGCATCACTCCCTCCTGGCAGGAGTCTCTAAAACTCATGACAGCTGGAAACTTCCTAGGCAGCTTGCAGGTGCACTTTTAAAATTACATTGTGTAGATGTAAAAAAAAAAAAAAAAAAACATAAAATTTGCGCAGATGTGATTTTAGAGATAAGTTGTGGGTTTAATGAATCATGTATCCTGTTTTCTGTTCTGTCTCTTACATTTCTTGCTGTAAGCAGAAGGTCCAGATTTGTTTTTCTGTCCCAATCAAAACCATCCTACATCATAATATCCCACCTCCATTTTTTTTTTCTAACATCTTTGTTTCCTTTGAAGCAATTCCCCAAAGACACCATTAATGAAGAAACGGTGGAGCTGCTGCAGCCCTATTTTGATATGCCTGACTACAACATTGAAACAGCCAAGAGGGTGTGTGGTAATGTTGCTGGCCTCGCCTCCTGGACCAAAGCCATGGCCTCCTTCTTCTCCATCAACAAGGAAGTTTTACCCTTGAAGGTAATGTACGTGAGGTAAATCACGTTTATTGATGCTGCAGAAATTAAAACGATATTTTCAGACAAATCAACGTCTTAAAGAAGCAGACGTCACCACAATTTTAGGAGGTTTGGGGTAACCTCCTAAAATTGTATTAATAAAATAGTGAATACTTTCCTAAAAAATGTATTCACGTAACAGCTGGACCGATGCTCCTTGGGCAATGTTTGAGGCATTCTATGAATAAGACACAATTTCTTTTTTTTTTTTTTTTTTTTTTTTTTTTTTTTTTTTTTTTTTTTCATTTTGCACAGGAGAACCTCAGGCTACATTAACTACACACTTTCATGATTTATTGTACAATCTGGGGAGCAATCAGTCTGGGTAATAAAACTTTTAAGATGTCATTCTCAGAAAGAGACATTATGGGAATGAAAGAATGAAAAATAGAGTAAATGGAGCACTTATTTAGATATTTATAAACACAAAAAGGCCTGGATATTGAGTTGAATGTCAAACATCATGGCATCAAATAATATAAAAAATCCAAACAGGGTTAATTTCAGCCATCGCTGCAAAACCAAAGTAAAATGAGTTTTCCATTAAAGTGATCACTTAAAATCCTATGATTAAGACTAACATTTCAGTGCATTCACATGAATTGTATTTTTTATGTATTATTTATGAGTCTACAAAGACTCCGTTTAGATGTTAATGTTATCCACGCGACTAAACTTGATTGAAATGGATAGAAATGAAATTGACACATTAGGCCGGACAAAGTCTGCACTTTATGACATGGAAGCAAGGCCTCTATGAGTCAAGCGTGGGTTCAGAAGATTCTTCAAATAGCCATTGGGAGATTGAGCAGACATGTTCAGCTTTTCTTAAAAATGACTCTTTTTTTTTTTTTTTCTTCTATTAACTCATCAGTTCCCCTAGCGTTACATTGTTCAACTGATCAATAGCGACGCTGCACGTGTTGCCGTGAAACTCACCAAAATCTTGAAGTGCATAAAAACCCCTATTTATCGTCACGGTACCAGATCACGTTGACCTATTAGAAATTTCAAAAACCTTTTATATTCCGTCTCACTTAACAGTGAATCAGACACGTTGTGCTTCACGTTTAAAACGTTGTCAGATGAAGCATGACAGTGACTGCAGCTGGACCTGAATGAATCATGCAATGTGAAGACACACACAGACACACATGTTGCAAACAGTTACTTTTATTAAAAAGTTAACAAAACAACCTGCAGGTAAACTCACGCAGGCCACTACAGAGTTTGACCGGGCAGTCGGAGCATGAATGAGGAAACCACAGTTGTTGCTCAGACACTTTTAATTTCCAACTCCTAACTCTTTCTTCCTACATAACATAATTAGATACACCGAGTGACTTGTGTGTTCATCCAAGTGAACACACCAACCTATCTAGCATAACTCACCAATTAACAGATGTTTCCGCCAACTGCTTTAACTCTGTGATTTTACACAGAAATCCCACTGAGCCACACTCCCTGGTGGTCTCCTATTTTTATCAGCAGCAGTGTGATAAAACCACAACCAGCAGCAGAGTACAGCAGGAAACAGGACACATGATTAACGGATAAACACGTAGAAAGGAGGAAAAGAGGCTCTTGTTGATATCAAACAATCTAAGCTTACTCAAGAAAACCATTTTGCTTTTGACCTCGTAGCGTTTGCATTGTTGAAATAAAAAAAATAAAATATATATATATATATATATATATATATAT